ACCATAGTGGGGGAGGCAGGGGAGATGAGGTTAAAGCCTTCTTCTGCTGTCAGGGACAGCTCCGAAAGTGGCGAGGTCCTGGCATGCGGGACTCAGTGGGATGAGTAGCGGCTGTGTGTAGCGGCGATCTCATCGTGGGGTGAGCATCCCTGACCACTTAGTCTGAAGTGGGAATGTGAGTTATTATTAAAAGGGAAGGCTACACTACTTGCCTGAAGTGGGAATGTGAGAAGAAGGCTACTTCTTCGGTTCCCACTCCAGCTGTTATTATATACATGTGGGATCGGTCATGTGGGGCGCGCCACGTCACCCTTGCACACAGCCATGGCTCTCTGGGTGCCTCCGTGGGAGATCCCAAGAGGGCCCGCTGTGGGTGCGGGGCAAGTGCGGCGGCGATGGCGGCGATATAGGAACAGTGAGATACAGGAGGGGAAGTAGGCATGCGCGCCGGTGATACATTGGGCAGCAGGAAAGGTGGTCCATGTGAGGAAGAAAGAAAGAAAGAAAGAAAGAAAGAAAGGGGGAAAGGAGAAAGGAAGAGGGAGAAGCGGTGCGGAGCGGGGGAGCGGAGCGAGGGTCGGGCGGGGCATGCCCTGACAGTACCACAGGTTCTAACCTATGACCTTTTGGTGCCTGTAAGGAAGGGAGGCTGCATATGCGCTCCCTCCTAATTCTTTTACTTTACCTTACTCTTGTTATCACTTGTAACATAGTATATTATAATCAGTTTGTAACTTCATGCAACAGCACTACAATTATTGTACATACTTGGAGACTGTCATATCCGTACAATCCCAACCTCCACTCAAGGCTCCCAGAACTCCGAACCTGACTTCCAGAGTCCTACTTCCCTTCTGCCACCTCCTCCTTGCCGACTTCCAAGAGGTTATCCCACCTCCGGCTCCAACACCACCTTTGGTCCGACTCCGGAACATTCCGGGTCCGACCTCATCCTCAACACCTTCCAGACGAGCATGCAACACCTATGCTCCCGACTCCGGACCTCTGCTCTGGAATCCCATTCGCGTTGTTGTGGGGACAACTCCGTGCACCGCAAAAAGTCGGATTCTGCGGAATTTGGCCACCAACATACACCACATACCCTCTGACACTCCCGATGCTCATTCTATCACTATCCAACACCCCATAAACTCATTCCTTATTTTTCCTTATTTTCCCCATCATCCCCGACAACCCCAAGCAAAATTCCCACGCCCAACCATGCCGCCAATTTCACCCCCTCTCCAGATCTCCATAACCACACATACAACCCAGCCGTTTTTCTACCTGATAGTGATGCTCTACCATCCTTCTTCACCCCCGGAGCATTTCCCAGAATGGCAATCCCATACCCGGATGGTTCAGCACGGAGTATAGTCTCACATGGTCTTGACAGCACCTGTCAATGGCCATATCTCAGGAAATACTGCACCAATTGGGATGAATGAGGGTTCGTTGGAAAGCTGGAGATGAGGAGATTGCTGACGGGAGGATAGGCGGGCGCTGTGGCGAAGTGTTGCGGAGTTAACTTTCACAATTCCCATTTCGGATCCGTTATCATATATTCTCCATTCATTCATATTCCTTTTATTGTTTCTTTGTTCCCAATTGGATATTCATCATTTACGGTTGCCTAACGGCCTGTTTACATTCCCCCAGCCCATTCATTTCATTTCCAACTCATATAAACTAGATAACAGCTTGTACATAACAAGTTAGAATTGAATAGACCTGTGAAGGGACAAGCAGAAGTTACATCCAAGTGGCAAAGACGCCATCCACGACCCTAACACCCCCTCTGAGCTAGTTGCTCACGTCTAAGACCCCTCACATCATAATACTCAGCCTTGACATCCAAGAGAGACGTAGGTGAGTGTTTGTTTGAGGTTTTTGCAGACTTGGTAGCACCCCAGGACCAAAACCCAGCCCCACGAACCACACCTGTGCACACACACTACCACCCTCCCCCTTCTCTCTGTCTTGAGTCTAGGTGATAGACCCATTACAGTGTCTCCATCTCCAGAACCTCCAGTCTTAGTTCCAACCTTGGACTTTGACCCCACCTCCACTTATACCCATGGTATTGGTTAGCTCATTCCATTTAATTACGTTTGCCAATATTCCGGAGTTTAACTTCCGAGTTCGGACTTTCCGGACTTATGTCAGACCTTGCAACTATTGCGTTGCTCCATTCAATTCCGCTATTCTCCCTCATTCCTATTTGGGCTGCTGCTTCCTTTCTATTCAGTCAGTCAGCCATTCCCCACTCCCATCCTCCTTCCTTCCTCCTTGGGCCTTGGCCCTTCACTCCTCCTTTGGGAAACACCATTGAGTCAAACCCTTGACCCCCAGTGTTGTTCCTCTTTCCAGCTCCCTTTGTCTCCTTTTGGAGTACCCTTGCTCCTTTTGATTCTGGACCCCTCTGTCAGGGACGCGTCCAGGGTAGAGGGGGTCCAGATGTATCGCCCGGCAGAAGGGCCCTCACAGGGTGCAAACCGGGTGCGTGTGCTGGCAGGTCCGGGGAGGGACAGCAGTCCCTGGCCACTTAGACTGAAGTGGAGAATGTGTTATTGTTATTAAAAGGGAAAACTATACTACTTACCTGAAGTGGAGAATGTGAGAAGAAGGGTACTTCTTCGGTTCCCACTTCAGGTACATTTATGTACATGCGGCTTGAGTCACATGACAGGTGCCACGTCACCCTCGGAGGCAGCCGCAGGCATCCGGGTATCCCCGTGGGGGATCCCGAGAGCGTCCGCTGCATGCGCGCGTGTTGGGCACAGCGGGGAGCCGTCCGGGGTGTGTGGGCCGGACGGGTCAATAGTACATTGATACAAAGGAAGGTGGTCCGTGTAGATAGAAGGAAATAAACAAGAAAAGGAAGATGAGAGGAATGAGATAAAGAAAAGGGAAGAAAGAGAGAAAAGGAAAAGGGGAGGAGAGACAGAGGAAGGAGGAGGGAGAGGGTTGGACAGCGGGGAGCAGGTGTGGTGTGGCCGGGTGGGTCCGGGTGGACCCGGGTCAGGCGGGTGTGCCCTGACACCCTCCTTATATGCAATGTACATAGTAACTTGTAACCTCAGTCCGAAATCGACCTGAAATGCCCCCAAGAGACTTTCCCTCTGCTAGATCTGAAATTAGGGACCCCCAGGACAACCAGCAATGGCACAGTGCTCTGCCTGAGTCGCTGAGGCTGAGGTCCTTCCACGCTAAGTCTCCGATTCCACCGGAGTCATCTGAATCCGCCCATTCTAACAGAGACCCTGCAAGCCACATAGGCTGCATGTGCTCTTCCCCCATGTATATAAACCTTGCATGCAGGCAAGTTAAGGCTTTACAGCCTTTACTCCCCCGTTGATTATACAGCCTATTATAGCATATCTCCGATGGACTGGGAGTGTGAGGCAATACTCACAACATCTTAACATCTTACAGTGCTGCTCTGCTTCTGTCATCCCTTTGTTCCTGTTCGGATGCCTTTGTTCCAATTTGGACCCCCTTTGATTTCCTTGTGCTTTCGTCTCCCTATTATATACAGGCACTTGTACATACTCGTTTTGGACCTTCAGTCTAAAATCGACCTGAAATGCCCCCTAGAGACTTCCTGCTCACTGCCTCTGAAATTAAGGACCAAATGGACAAACAGCAATGGCACAGTGCTCCGCATGAGTCACTGAGGCCGGGGTCTGTCAGAGTCCGCGCGTCTATTCGCAGTGTAAGAGTATCCCCAGGAAACTAGTCGATATCAAAGCTGGGGGCTAGCCCAGCTGGCATAGTAGCCTTATGTACATGAGTTCTGCTAACTCACGAGAGCGCAGTTACATTGGGAAGATGGTAACTAATAGAAACACGACATCAAATAGGAAGATAGAAGATGCGGGAAATGAGGGAATATCGGGTAAGGGGTGACGCGATAGCGAATATAGCGCAATGAGTTATATCTGCGTTCTAACTACGTAATTATCTCACGCAATCTCGGCTAACAATTACCTCATTGATATCGCTTAGAGTAAAGGGGGGCCGGATAACCGGGCGTCCCCTGACAGGGTCCCTCCTTGCTAAGTCTCCGGTTCCCCTCCAGAATCGTCTGCCCTTGCCCAGTTCTAACAGTCTCCGATTCCATTCCAGAGTCATCTGAATCCACCATATCTAAGGCCTGTGGTGAACGGGGAACAGAACATTACTGTCCCCAAAATAGTAAGCAAAACCCTTCACTCCCCAACACATAACTCCACCAAATCTCCACCAATTGGGACGATCTTGACATCAACAGATTCATAGGAATTAGGGGTATTTTTAGGTACTAAGTTTGTATCAATTTTCTGAATGAATGGAAATGATTTTTGGATGGTGAGAATGGATATCTGAGCTGGCTCTGCATGTGGGCGATTATCCCACCTACACCATCAGAGATAAGCTATATTTCGACAGGTGTGGAGGAAAGGAGTGAAAACCCCATTCATCTCACACTCCGCTATATATAAAGTAATTACAAGTGTTGTACATTATTTATATCAAGGAAATATGAGATGCGTGGTCAGCCTCAAGGACCATGCCTGGCAGAGTGTCAAGGTACAGTGGCATCCCCAACACAGTCCCCTGATCCCCTTTCCCCTTTCCCCTATTTTTCCTTATTTTTCCACTTACACATGAACCTGTGGGAAAACTCACATGGGTCAAAGTGTGAGCCCTGACACAGAGCCTGGACTTTACATCAGAGATTGCCTCTCTTAGCAGGCACAGACAGAAGCAAAGAGCAAGAAGACACATACTAAGGTTCCTACCCAGTTCATGCCAGCTCAGTTGACAAACCTTAAAACGGAATTGATGGACGAACTCATCAATCCTATCAAATGTCAAATGCATACCCCATGGTTTCGTCTTCGTTCATACTTTCTTGCATTCACCCAGCTAGTATTCACCTCTCACCTTTCTGCTCCCTTTGGCATGTAAAATTTTATCCTTGTATATTAAGAGCATCCTACATAGCACAGTCGAAGTCATATACCCACGATCGCTTTGAATGCCTCATAGCACTTTAGCATCTCACGTCTGTTATCAAGAGGCTTCATCCCTTCACTTCGCCGACGAGCAGGACGAGGGACAGGTGGATAGCAATAAGTGACTTGTGTTTCCGCTGGAGGATAGGTCCCGTGAGCGATATGATCCGACAGGGTCTGCGTGACGGGAATCTTGAAGAATGCGGGCGACGTGCCAACCATTACGATGCCAGGCATGACCTAGGGGAAGTAGACACCAACTTAGGTCAACCAATCAACCAATTCAAGCAATGGCTCACCTTGCTGACCAATGGTGGAAGTCCCATGGATTCTCTTTGTGCGTTGTTCTCATTAAAGGCCGCAACTGCTTCTGCTACAAGCTGAGCCCGCGCATTGACTGGCTCGAATTGTTGTCCTCCTGGACAAGGAGAAGGATATCATTCTGAGAGCGATCAACAATACAGACATCTGTCTTGGCATGTCTCTCTTCACCGCAAATAAGAAGGGGGAGGTCCACTCTCGTGCGCGCCAATCGTTGCCGACGAACATAACCCAGAACCTTGAACAGTTCGACGGCAAAATCATCGACGGCGGTTTCGCCCTTATCGGGGATCATGGCGAGATCAAGCAACCCGATCAACTCCGCGTTACGATCTTGTTGCATAGTGTCAGCATCGAGAATGTTCAGCAGCTCTTGATCAATCACAGGTTGTGGCAACTCCTGTGATGTAAAGATCGTTAAGTTTTCCCAATGACGAATGCGGAGCCGCCGCGACTCACCTGTAAACCAAAGAACAAAAGGTGGTCCACTTGATGGATGGTGATATGATATGAATCCAGCTCACTGCGCGTCCAGTCACTGCCAGACTTGGCGGAGCGAACGATATTAGCCATGACATCCTGGTGAAGCGGCAGCGAAGCGTGAGAACTCACGTGACTGAGGCGCCGAGGTCAGTCGTTCAGTCCGATTGTGGCTGGCTCCCACACGTGAAGCCAAAGCCAGTTGGCCTCAGTATAACCACCAAGCCACCTCTGTCATCCCTGCATGGCTACAATAGTAACTCAGAGGGCAAGCGCTGAGCACCAGCAACGCCTGTGCGAAGACATCTTAGGATTTAATCGAGTACGAGATTAAATGAGACTTGTGTGCCACTGGATATCCGCACTCACCTTTTCTGATCCATTCACCTATTATGTGCTGTACCTGCTGATCGTCTCGATCTCTTGCGCCGTATCCGCTGTCGGCCATCTCGCATGCCGCTTTTTGGTGATCGCTGCGCTGTAGCCGCTGTACGCCTCGATCCCTTGTATCGTCGATCATGCTGCATGCCTCTACTTGAATGATCGCTGCGCTGTAACTGCTGAACACCTCGATCTATATTGCACCGTATCCACTGTCGGCCACATCACAAGCTGTCTTCGCTACACCGAGGAGTCATGTCGGTCTCTAAGCTATCGGAGATTTTCAAATTGGTTTCATCGGGCGATCCTTGTATGTTGGCTCGTCTGCTCTCTGATTATACGTTACGCTAACTTTACTCATCTTTCGATTTTGATCATTTGCATTTACGTTTCTTTTAGTTTTTTTTCTTCTTCATTCCCTACGATCTATTTGGACGACTCTGTGAGGGTGAAGGTGAGTCGCCCTTCGGGTACTTTCGGCAAGTGGGATCCCGAATATCTACAGGGTCCCCTTTGTTTGATCTTCTTTTGGGTACAAGGCTTTAGCCTTAAGCACATGCTCTCTTTTAACTTCTGTACCTTTCTCTCATCTCTCCGCGGTTGTCTTCCAGTGCCCCTGTCGCCTCCTGTATGTATCTCTAAAAATTTGAAGTTCCGGAAGTGGTCGGGGCTGTTGCCATGCTAACACGTTTGTGCCCATCCATTTGCTCACAGGTACTCTATGAATCCAATCACCCCGCAAAATCCCCCGGTTGGACTGATGAATTCTCCTTATTATCTCTACAGTTTTTCACCCCCCAATGAGTTTGCCTGCTCAATGATTCATTACCGCAAATCTCTCTCATTTCTTTGCATTTGGTAATGAAATTTGGCGTGTAAGCACGTAGTTGCTAGGGCTACTTATGTACCAAATTTGAGGCTGAATGGACGCAAACAAAGGGAAAAAATTAGGAATCATAGCAAACCTGAACACGAGAAAGTGGCCATGTGTGCCACTTAACCATGCCAATCTCATATAGCTCTCCCCACCTTACCAAGAGCTAACCAAGCAGCCAGTGGGTAAAAGGCTATCATTACACGTGCCAGGCTTTATTTGTTTTGATGATACACGGAAGCTGATCAGAAGCATGTTTCTATCCATCATTCATAACTTTAACCTGAAGAATCCACCAATTAACTATCCCTGATTCCCCAACTCTGATTCTGTCTTGCTTTTTTTAATGGGTTGGCACGCGAACTCATTAGAGTGCTGTAGGAGAAACAATGGTCACACTATGGAAACCCATTATAGAAATATGCCAGATAAATCACAAAACCCCATACGACAAGTAGATATGAGAAAATAGAAGAACCTGAATTTTAACGAATTTTAACGAATTTTTACGACTACATATGATAAATTGGAAGAAAGAAAATTAGCAAAAATACTTCAAGCTTAGCATCAACAATACAGAATTCTCGGGAGAATTTATAGCAAATATTAAACAAAGAATTAGGACAATCGACCAAGATTTGACTATAAAAACAACCAGAGAACCTCCACGGAAACTACTTTCCCATGCCCACACATGTAGCCAAGGATGGAAGTACCACAGAACAAGGATTCCTTAGGAACTAATGCAAAATTCAAAGTCGTGTTTATAATAGGAAATGTAGATGTCTCCCAAACGGACTCAATGAAAGTAATTACAGGGAAAACTACCCATAAATGACAGAGATATGACTAAAACTCCCGGAAAATGAGGACAACGTTTAAAAGGCAAGCGCGAAGAACAAGCAGTAACAACTGAGACGAGCTTGATAGCCCATTAGAAAGGAAGGGATCTAATTTTAATCCACCCAAAGTTTCATAATAAAAGGATCATGCATCAATGAGATATCCAATAATGGGAAAAGCGACATCAAAAGTCCGGGCTCAGGGAAAAGACAACGTTTACGTAGGATCCATAATTAAAACATACAACGAAATTTACACGGAAATTATGATAAATAGGAAACTATAGATATGCAAATTTTCAGCCCAAACAGTCCAGCCATTGTGAAGTTATACCAAAATGGGAATAGAGAAATCTGCATCATGTTTAAAGACACGTGAGGGTGGCGATGTGAAGGGAACCAGCCGTCAGAACCGAGATCCACACTTCAGCAGATTGCGAAGACCAATTTCTGTCCAAATAAGGAAGACCCCAGTCAAAACAAAGCATGGAAAGTACAAAACAACCTTAGATCATGAGGGAAAAATCTGAAATAAATCATGGAAGCCCATATTTAGGATACAAACACCCGCACATACCATAAATCCCGAACAATTAAACAGAAATGGCGCCCACATACAAACGACTACGGGAACGATGCATGTGATTACCAAATGTGCATGCAAACTTTTGCTAACTCGACGAATACCAAGAAATAGAACACAACTTTAGTACCATTGGAAAGGTGGGAATAAATGAAAATTTATGATACTAAGAACGTGAAAAACCGTCCAGAAATGAATGAGATACAAGGACATGAAGTTAGAAACCTGAAAACATGTGGGAAGACAGCTTCTAGAGGTCCAGAGCCCCAAATAAAATACATAAAAATATGATATCTTCGAGGACGACCTACTATAACAACGAACAATACATGTGGAGGACTAGGATGCAATAATACAAAGGGGAATCAGGGGAGATGGATGAAATCCACGAAAACCACTAAACTATGACGGACCATGGCAGGAATTTTAGGGAACGATATACCAATGAAGCAGAGAGCTATAATACATTTGTTTGAGCAATTTTTGACTACTAGCAACTTTTTCTTTCAGTTCTAAACCTGAATAATTCACTCATTTATCATTTCAAGTCTCATTTCAACTAAATGTTACTGGATAAAAATAGAATAAATCAGCTGAAGGTCTCAGTGCAGCCATATGCATAGTAATGCAAAGTTTGAATTCAGAATGATCGAGTCATAGCGAACTTAATGGTAAATATGAGGAATTTGAAATAGAAAACTGCGACAAATGCAGTGCAGTCAAGTTCTAATTAACATAGCTTAGGCAAGGAAGGACAATAAGGATTCTAGGTGCAGTCTGACCGCAGTAGAGCTGCAGTTCAGTGCAGCTGAGCGCAGTAGAACTGTAGTGTGAAATTTTCATTTTTTATTCAGTTTGAGGAAAATACACTGTAAATAAATCCTGTAAATACGAGGTAGAGCATGAAAAAGGAAGGCGACCCAAGGAGTATAAAAGGGAGACCCTTTCTGCGACCTTTTGCCCCCCTCAGAGAAGTAAGAAAATAGAGTATTATTTTTCTCAAGCATTTCTGGTTGTCACTCCAGCTGTCATATCCGTGCATACCCGATCCCGACCCGACTCCCAGACCTCCTCCTTCCCCACCTCCAGAGTCATACCCTACAGCTGCCCGTTCCGATACTCACCTTCGGTCCTGGCAACACGCCTCCTTCTACCCCCATGCCACCTCTACTCCTCCTTCCCTCTCCTCCCCTATCTCCATCTGCTCCGATACTCACCTCGGACCGAACACCGCCCCTCTCACCACCCTCCTACTACTCCTCCTCCTACTCCGCTCCTCCTTCACAACACTGCCACCCTTCCGTCACCCCCCTACGCCTCCCCCGTCCGCTCCGATACTCACCTTCGGACCTGACTACTCTCCTTCCCGCCACTCCTTCTCTCTTACCTTTCTCCTCTCTCCTCTCTCTGGTACTCTTCCGCTGACCCCCCGCCAAGTTACGACCTTCCACCACTGTTCCGTACTTCATACTCGGGCACCGCTCGTATCTTTACTCCAAGCCTCCATCATAGTCCCTACCTTGGACTTTGACTCCACCTTGGTCTTAGTCCATTGCATTGGTGACCTCATACTACGTAAACACCATTGCCAATATTCCTCGGACTTTCAACCCCACCTCTGTAACCTCCGTAAGCTCTGCAACCTCCGAGCTTCGCGGATTGCCTTCGGCACTTTCGCCGCTTGTAATGTATCTTTCGCGTTTTCCCCTCATCCCTATTTGGACTGCTGCTTCTTCCCATTCTAGCCAGTTAGTCATCATCCCCACTTCTCCTCATCCTCCTGCCCCTCTGGGCCTCGCCCTCCCTACCTCCTTTCGGACGTATCACAGGTCCTGCCTTATGACCTTCGGTACCGTTCTGCTTCTGTCTACCCTTTGTTCCCGTTCAGACGTCTTTGTTCCGATTCAGATCCCCTTTGTCTCCTTGTGCTTTTGCCCCCTCCATTATATATATCAGCGCTTGTACATACTCGTTTGGGGCTCAGTCCGAAATCAACCTGAAATGCCCCCTAGAGACTTCCTGCTCGCCTACTGTGAAATTAAGGACCAAATGGACAAACAGCAATGGCACAGCACTCCGCTTGAGTCGCTGAGGCCAAGGTCCCTCCACGCTAAGTCTCCGATTCCACTCCGGAGTCGTCTGTTTCCACCCGTTTCTAACACCAGCGCGAAAAAGTGATATACAGTTAAGATTGCCACTGTAGTAAAAGGCAGCAATTAAGGAGAGAAATATTAAGTAGATATTTCAACAGGAGAGCTGGTTAACACTCCAAATTTCAAAGTGTAAACACAAAACAGTTATTTTGCTACTGTTAAAACAAGCAATAAAATAAGACAAAAATAAAACAAACTCAAGGGACACTCCAGACACAATCTAAATCATTAACTGAGTAGAATCTTCGAAACTTCACCAA